ACCTATTTGTCTTACAAGTGCACTTGACAAATGGAAGGGAGCAGCAAGAGCCAAACGTCTCACTGATCTGCAGGAGGACACAGAGCCAAGTGCTCTGCGCAGCTGTCCTCTGCCACCTGCCTGCAGCCTCCCCTCCCCAGCCTCACCCAACGCAAGAGAAGCGCACGCCGTCCAACTTTCACACCTTTGCAGGGTAAAATATTTGGAAATAAAAGAGAAACAAGCCTCAACGGTGTGTGGCTTTTAATCCCCAAATGTGCAGGCAACATGACATTAAAACAGTTAATGGCTGTTTCTTTAATAAATAAAAAATTTTGAAGGTTAATGTCACCATGTTTGCTGTGTTGTAGTTGGTTTCTCAGGATCAAAGCTTTAATTCAGTACTTGGCACTTCAGACTGAAGGTGTATAGAGGGGAAATACTTCACTGAAATTATGCAGCAAGTACTGTGTGATTTAATTTTCTTCAGCAAGGAGGGTAGGGAGGTTGGATAGTTAAAAACACAAACTAAACAAAATTGGTCACAACTTTCAGTTAGTTTGCCTTTCTTCAGGGGCTGGACTATGTAGTCAGTCCTAGCTGCCTGGAAAGAGCTTATTGCTGAATTCTGAACAGACATCGGTAATGGCAGAGACACGACAGCCATGAAAATGTACCTCGTGCTTTTCCTCCTTTAATGGAATTCTGGTGCTAGGGGTTTAGTAACACCAGGCTTTCTATTTGCATGTCATCTGGCTACGTAGTACGAATTTTACATTTGGCTCCTCTCATATAATTTATTTTTCTACTATTTTGTGGTAAGTCTTCCAAACTCACCCTCTCGTACTTTAGCTGAAATACACACACAGGAGATTTCAACTGCAAATATATGTATGTAATTTTAAAATCTTAGTTTTTGCAAACGTCTGCATAGCAGTAACATGTTCTGCAGATACTCTAGGAAGCCACCTCTGTCTGCAAAGTTCTTCGAAAGCAAACGGGACTAAACAAAAGCGCCAATCTGTGTTGTGGTGCTAGCGCTGAAACTAACCATGTAAAGCCTCAGACTGTACTGTCTTCCTCAGTAGCCACATCTTTTCAATAAAACTACTGCCAAAAGTCAGACCCTGAAAGTAAGTAAACTCTTGTCTGAATAGTTCACCATTTTTCTGCTGTTACATATGCTGTTCTTTGGCACCTCTTCACACTACTGCACTACTGGTTTCAAACCCAAACCTGGTAATTTTTCTTTTATCTTGGAGCCCACACCAGCAGTAGAACGTAAGAATGCAGCAGGTGCCTGTAAAAGCCAAACACTAATTCTCACATTTTTCATCTCGGAGAATGGCTTCCAACACAAAGGTGACAAGCACTGCTTCACAAGAGCATTAACTCTTAATACTTCACCAGCCTCAGTTTTTTTACTCCCCACTGTGGAATCATAAGAGCTAAATCCTTCCCAATTACCAACTCGGGAATGAAGAGAGCTTTCACAGAACAGTTTCTAACCAGAATCTGCTAATGGTCTTGCTGTTCAACAGTACCCAAGCAGATCTCAAGCATCAGCACACAAGATTGCTTGAATCTCCTTCCTTTTCAACCTTGAAAAATGCTGAATCATCTTACGGTTATATGCTTTCACATCTAGATACAGGCTGCTTTTTAAGTATACAGTAACTGAGATCTGCTTGAAAAGAATTCACATGTCACTACCTTAAAACCAGGTTAACCAAGAACTTTGTTTTCACTGTGAAGTTGCCATTAACTGTCCTCAGTTTGCTTTGCTTTTGTATAGACTTCAGTTACATACAAATCACAAAAATATTCTAAAAGGTGGCCACCACAAAACATAGTTCCAAGAACTGACCAGTTACTGAATCATACCCATTTCTACTTGACTCAAAAGCCTTTGCAAAGGCTCTCCAAAGAAGGTGTTTTTAAGCACCAGCCTGCCCCTCACAGCCCCCGAGTTTTCCTACTCTTTTCAACAGTAACCAAGCGGCCAACCCTTTTCCTACTAAAGAGTGTCACCTGTTAGAACAAGCCTTTCATGTGAAATTCATCACATCAGATATTGGCACCGAGACCAGGAAAAGGAGCCAGTTTAAAGTCCCAAGACAGAACAATCAGCAGGTTAAAAAATGAAAAATTTCAAAGAATATGACCCTCATTTTCAAAATGAAGCATACCACAGCTGTGATGCATAAGCACCCATGGTGGCATTGTATTTCATCTGCCAGAAGACTGCTTATTATGCATTAATTTGGAGCAGCACGGGAGTGGCTGGGTGCTAACATGACATCACTTCTTATTTATAACAACTCTTGGGATAGGAGAAGATGAGACACAAAGGCAATCACAATGGCTGGTATCTTAATTCTACTCCTATCTCAAATGATCAGTTAGGCACACAAACATTTCTATCAAGTCAGAACAAAGGATCTTCTAGAACTCAGGAGATGCAGGAGGTGCAGCGGGATGCTGGGATTTGGGTAGTGGTCTACCTAGAAACAGCGGTTTTCCTACCCTGGGCAAGTTAACAATAAAAGGAGGTCAAAAAAATGAGGAGCAGGAAGAAGAGGGACTGAGAACCCTGAGGCAGACAACGGAAATTGCAGCCCTTGATAGTTTTGTTTTTATCTTCAGTAATGGAAGACCCGAGAGGCGGGTCTAGCAGAGATTTCCCACTTCTGAGATTCTGAAAATACAGTAAAAAAAAAATCCAAGTATTTAGGTAAGACAGCTTTCAGG